TCATCTATCCCGACGGTGCCCCCATTATGGTTGGGTATACTTGCTCGGCCCTCTCTTCATCTATGCTCGGACTGTCCCGGGTCTCGATAAGTATACGCCAAGATACCTCTGAGGCCAAAGTCGAGGCCAGGCATGCTAAAGCGTCGGCGTGGGTGTTTTGATCTCTAGGGATCTGGGAAACTTCCACTTTTTCAAACTTTTCCATCCTGGATCTTGCCTTCTCATGATATGCCTTCATCCTGCTATCCCGGACCTCGAAGTCCCCATTAACCTGGTTCACGACCAGCTGGGAATCACAAAAAATCCGAAGGTGTTTAACTTCAATCGAGCTTGCGGCGTTCAGTCTTGCTAGTAATACTTCGTACTCGGCTTCGTTGTTGGACGCCTTGAATTTCAATCTGACAGCCCTTTCAATGATGAACCCTTCTGGGTTGGCTAGTACGATACCTGTCCCTGCCCCCTAGCATTCGAGGACCCATCAACATGGAGATCTCACACGTCCTCCGACTGATCCAGTGTTAGGGGCTCGCACGCAGAGAACTCGGTAACAAAATTCGCCAGGACTTGTCCTTTTATTGACGTTTGGGGCTTGTACCTAATTTCAAACTCTTCGAGCTCTACAGCGCATTTGGCAATCCTTCTGGACATATCGGCCTTGTGCAGGATCAGCTTGAGAGGTCGGTCCGTAAGGACGTCTATGGCGTGAGCCTGAAAATAATGTCGGAGTTTCTTTGCCGAGACCACCAATGCCAATACCGACTTCTCCATCGGAGAGTATCTTGTCTCGGCGTCGAGCAAGGTCTTGCTTACGAAATACACGGGTCTCTGTGCCCCTTCGCTATCCCTGACCAATGCTCCATTAATGGCGTCTTGAGAAACGGACAAACANACGGGTCTCTGTGCCCCTTCGCTATCCCTGACCAATGCTCCATTAACGGCGTCTTGAGAAACGGACAAATAAATGCTTAAAACCTCCCCTGCTGCTGGAACAGACAACGTCGGAGGGTGTTTCAAGTACTCCTTGATCCCTTTAAGAGCTTGATCGCACTCCTTGTTCCAAACCCCATTAGCTGCCCCCCTTAACTTGGAAAAGAATGGTTTGCACTTATCGGACGATTTGAAAATAAACCTGTTAAGGGCCGCCAACATCCCGGCCAATTTCTGAACGTCCTTGACAGTCTTGGGTGCCTGGACATTTTGAATCACCTGTATCTGCTCGGGGTTTACCTCGATCCCCCAATGAGTGACTAAATACCCCAAAAAGTTTCCAGAACTTGCTCCAAATGCGCATTTTGAGGGGTTAAGTTTCAGGCCATATTCCTGGAGGATGGAAAATGTCGTCCCGAGATGGCGGAGATGGTCAGCCTCCTCCTTGCTCTTGACCAACATGTCATCAATGTACACCTCCATCGTGTCGCCGAGCTGGTCTTTGAAAATCTTATTCATCAATCGTTGATAAGTTGCCCCGGCATTCTTCAACCCAAAGGGCATTACGGTATAACAGTAGATCCCCCGCGGAGTGATGAACGTCGTTTTCTCCCGATCTGGCTCGTGCAGGGGAATCTGGTGATATCCAGCTCGAGCATCCATGAAGGTGATATGCCTGTGGCCGGCCGTGGCGTCTACAAGCTGATCAACCTTGGGCAAAGGGTACTCGTCCTTAGGGCAAGCCTTGTTTAGGTCCGTGAAATCCACACAGACTCACCATTTTCCTTCTTTCTTCTTGGTGCACACGGTATTAGACAGTCATTGGGGGAACTGCACCTCCTTGATGGAACCCGCTCCCAACAACCTCTCCACTTCTTCTTCCACAGCTTTCGCATGATGGGGGGCAGTTCTTCAGGCCTTTTGCCTGACGGGTTTGAACGAGGGGTTCACATGGAGCCGATGGGTCATCACGTCGGCACTTATCCCCGTGATCTCGGCCTGGGTCCAGGTAAAGACATTGGCATTGTGGCATAAAAAGGAGGTCATATCATCCTTCTCTACACCGCTGAGTGATTCCACTATCAGTAAGTATTTCTCGCTGTCATCAAAGCTCAGGAGAACCTTTACCAAGGCTTCGATGGAGCGGTCGGTAGGCTCTGTTATGGGCTCGTCCACCCCTGGCTAACCATTTTGTGATTGCTATTTGGCAATCACCGCATCGGGGTCGTGCTCCTGACTACAGCCACTTATTCCCGTTTTGACAGCACCGTAGAAGTAGTTTTTTGCCGAGGCCTAGTCACCCCGGATTTTCATTACGCCCTGTGGTGTTGGGAACTTTATCTTCGGNATCCAGCTCGAGCATCCATGAAGGTGATATGCCTGTGGCCGGCCGTGGCGTCTACAAGCTGATCAACCTTGGGCAAAGGGTACTCGTCCTTAGGGCAAGCCTTGTTTAGGTCCGTGAAATCCACACAGACTCACCATTTTCCTTCTTTCTTCTTGGTGCACACGGTATTAGACAGCCATTGGGGGAACTGCACCTCCTTGATGGAACCCGCTCCCAACAACCTCTCCACTTCTTCTTCCACAGCTTTCGCATGATGGGGGGCGATTCTTCAGGCCTTTTGCCTGACGGGTTTGAACGAGGGGTTCACATGGAGCCGATGGGTCATCACGTCGGCACTTATCCCCGTGATCTCGGCCTGGGTCCAGGCAAAGACATTGGCATTGTGGCATAAAAAGGAGGTCATATCATCCTTCTCTGCACCGCTGAGTGATTCCCCTATCAATAAGTATTTCTCGCTGTCATCAGAGCTAAGGAGAACCTTTACCAAGGCTTCGATGGAGCGGTCGGTAGGCTCTGTTATGGGCTCGTCCACCCCTGGCTAACCGTTTTGTGATTGCTATTTGGCAATCACCGCATCGGGGTCGTGCTCCTGACTACGGCCACTTATTCCCGTTTTGACAGCACCGTAGAAGTAGTTTTTTGCCGAGGCCTGGTCACCCCGGATTTTCATTACGCCCTGTGGTGTTGGGAACTTTATCTTCTGATGGTAGGATGAATGGACCGCCTTAAGTGCATGCAACCATGATCTCCCCATAATTGCGTTGTACGGAGAGTCGGAGTCTACCACCACGAACTTTACTGGAATGGTCACCACCCCCACTCGTACCATGAGAGTGATTTTTCCAAGGGACAGGGTGCTGGAACCGTTGAATCCGATGAGGGGAGTCTTCATGGGTTTCAAATCCTTCTGAAAGATTCCCATCTTGTTAAAAAGGTGATTGTACATTACCTCGGAGGAGCTGCCCGAGTTCACCAATATCCTCTTAACGTTGAACTTTCTGACCCGTAATGTGATCACCAATGCATCCTCGTGGGGGAAGACCACCCCTCCGAGATCGGCATCGGAGAACTGAATTACCTCGGCAACGCCCCGAGATCTTTTGGACGGCTGCTGGTCCCCCCTTTCATCCACCTTGATTGCCTAGGACACCCTTTGCAACTCGGAGCGGAGGGAGTTATATGTAGGCCGCTCCACCATGCAGACATGGATGACGTCGATCACGGGTGTTGCCTTAGCTGGTCCTTCGGCTCGTTCCCCCGCCGACCCCCCGGGCTGGCCCTTGTCGATGAACTCTTCGAGGTGCCCCTATTGCACCAACCGCTCTAAGAAGGACCGATAACTGTTGCATTCCTCCGTCAAATGGCCGACATCTCTATGATATGAACAACGAAGGGCCGAATTCCTTGTCAACGGGTCGCTAAGCATCCTCAGGGGCCACCTGAAGTACGGTTTGTTTTTGATTTTGGGGAGTATCTTGTGAATGGGCTCGTTGAACACCGTGCTTACCCCCTGGAAGGATAGACAACTCGGGGGTGGGATTGGTTCTCCCCTCCAGGACGGCTGCTCCCTTTCCCTTTTTCTCGGCATTGTCACCCTATTTTCGGGTACGACGGACTCTTCCTCCACCCAGGCATACTTGTTTATCCGAGTCATCAAGTCTTTCATATCTGCCGGAACCTTCTTGGTCAATGATTTGTACAAATCTGTATCTCGGGACAGTCCCAACCTAAATGACGTCGCGGCCAATGTCTCCGAACATGCCTCCACCTCATTGACCTCATCCCAATATCGAACAGCGTATTGCCGGAGCGTCTCTCCCCCTTTTTGCCTGAGCGTCAATAGAGCGACAATGTCCTTAGGCTTCTTGTTGCTGGTGATGAATCGGGCCAGGAAAAGCCCTGTCAACTGCCTCCAGGACCCTATGCTCTCGGGGGCGAGGTTCTCGTACCACCTCATGCCCGTGTCCCCGAGGCTCATGGAAAAAACTCAGCACAACACCCTTTGGTCGGTGTCATAGATTGACATCAATTGTCTGTATTGCCAAAGATGGCTCTCAGGGTCGGTCTTTCCATCGTAGATCTTGAACCGCGGGACGGTAAACTTTCGCGGGCTCCGTTCCGCTACGTTACGCTTCGCTCCACTCCGCTACGCTCCGCCCGCTCCGGCATCTGCCTCCTTGCCATTATGCACATAGCAAAATATGAGCCACACATATTCTAACAAGTAATTTATAGGAAAAGAAGAAATATTAAACATAATGTCTAATGAAGCACAGTTCTAGCATGCATACCAAAAAGAGAAAAAAAATTGATCTCAAGCCCAAAATAAAGTTAGACAGGCTTCGGACCCTTGTGTGGTTGTCTGCTGGCCTGGTGGAGAGCTCCCTTATTCTCTGTTTTTTTTTTCTGCAACTTCTTTGTGATTCTGCTATGCTGGTTTGTTGCTATTGATGCTTGCTGATTCTATTTGCTACTTGTTGCTGAGTAGTGGCCTTGTTGCTGATTTGAAGGAAATGGATTGATATGCTTATCCCAATATGATTATGTTTCTGATGGGGGATGGTAGACCATCTTTTCCTTGGACTTAGATGACAGAGACAATAGTCCCTACCAGAAACAATTTTTGAACCCCCATGAAAGTTAATTTTTGAACTCTATTGTTGAGGGGGTCCTTTTCTGGCCTTTTTTCTTGGTCATGTTATATTCTTGTTGGCCTTCTTTGCTGCTATTCTGAATGTTGCTGCTGCTTGAAACTGGATGGGCATTTATGCATCCGTCTCAGCCTTTCTGTGTTTTGCTTTCTCTTGAGCCTGCTGGCTGCTCTGCCTTGGTCATGCTTAATGACTGTACACTCAAGCTTTTTCCTTGCTGCTTGTTGGGCTGCTGTCCCACGTTGCTGCAATGTTTTTGTTCTCATCTTGTTTCTTTTGGGCTTGACTGCATATTGTTGATGGAGATCACTGTGATTTTGGGGATAGTAGATCATCTTTCTCATATGAATATAGATGACCTGCATAACTTTCATAGTTTGAAAGCTCTTAAGGCAGATTGCTTACTACCTATTGAGGGCCTTACTACCTAACTAATAGAATGGTATTTGCGGTAGTCCGAGTAGCTAGCCTTGAAGGAAGACGGACAACATAGACCAAGCACTCTTCGTAAACCAATTTCACTTCTCTCTTTTTGATTCCTTTTGGCATTGTTTTTTTTTTCATATTAGTATCTGTGAAAGATATGGAGCACCTCTTTTGATTAATGAATTTTTCACTTACTGAAAAAAAAAAAGTTAGTCTGGCATTTCTACAAAGGTTTTCCTATGCACAATCCAAATTTGCCACCTATATAGGTAAACTTCACGAAAAAGCATAAAGTTTAGATTTAGTATGTTTTTGAATATAATTGGCTCTCCCATAGCCTTTGGGTATCTAGTAGTTTAAAGAATCTTCAATATGATCTACTGGACATTTATTCATACATCAGTAGCTATGAATATGAGAATGTTGATCAAGATGCTTATAAGAAACTAATTTCACCAAGTCGAGACCATTTCTCAAATAAGAAGTTATGATTATTTCTTTTATTCTATTTCCTCCACAATTCTTTTTCGGAAGGTCTATTTCCTTACAATTCTACATGCATAAAGAAGGTTGGTTTTTATAATATCAGCTACAATTTTCCAAATTGAGGGAATTTTGTAAAATAGGCAATGCCAAAAGGGAAGATGGTCTACCCAAGTCATTTTCTTTCACAATAACAGAAGCACACAACCCTTATGTCTTTCTTGGCATCATGTATATTCTTTCTTATAATTATATTTCCACGGCAGCAACAGGTTTATAGCTACAACATAAACAAGCAATAGTCAAAGGAAGTCAAATAATTATGAAACTCTCGACCAACTCCATATTGAAAACTGTTGCAATTTTTTTTCTCTGTTTTGTGTAATTTTTTTTTAATTATTGGCCAGAACATATTTCCTATTTTATTACTGCTTAGTATTTGTCTTGGTCAATTCTTAAATTGATAGTGTTGACTTTCTCCCTTCGCATCATGGCATATTGATTTTATTTTCGTTATTTAGCTCTTATGGAGTCTAATCTCTTGCTCTAGGGTTATGATTAATGTTTTTGTGGAGGTCCATTGGTGTACGATTTCACACAGCAAAACTATCCATGTTTTCCCATGAGAACCTTATTGTAAACATTAAACTTCATTGAATTTACTCATATTCTAAGAAAAGTAATTTTCTTGCTATACTTGACAATTTTTTTATTTGTTGCCATATCATTTAGGCTCTAAATTTGATCCCAAAATTTAATCAGTATAGCATTATTGGCTTTTTTTACTATGCAGTAATTAAGTCATGTTAAGCTACCATATCATCTTGCGTAAACCTTAAAGAACTAAAAACGATAGGGGTGCAACTCGAGTGGGTTGGGCGGGTTAGACAGTCAATTCTAACCCAACTCTAAGTATATAATTTTCAACTCTAACTCTATCTCGGGTTGAGTTTCTCAACCCGAGCATTACCCGAGTTTAATTCGGGCGGGCTCGGATTGAATTCAGATTAATAATTTCAGGCCGATTTCGGGTTAATTTCGAGTTACTTTACGGGTTCAGGTTGAGTTCGGGTAGAGCCCAAAATAAGCTTATTATTCTAAATTTAATAATATATTACATAATATTCACCTAAATTAACAACCAATAACTTCAACCAAGCTTTTAACAATGTTAATGCTAGAACAAAAATGAAAATGAACAAGAGAGACAGAGAACGATACAACAAAAATGAAAAACCAGTGCTAATGTTTTATATATATATGTATTATTTTATTTTTTAATTTTTTAAAATTTGTCGGGTTCGGGTTGAACCCATGAACCCGAGGCCTTAACTCGAGCCCAACCCAAATTGAATTCGGGTTGAGATTTTTTGACCTAAATCCAACCCAAGTATTAAAAACTTTTCCTCAAGCCCTAATTATATTTGGTTGGACTCGAGTTAAATTCGGGTTCCAACCCAGTTGCACTCCTAAAAAATGAGGAATCAAACTCTCAAGAAAACTTTAAACAACTGGGCATGGATAAATATAGTTTGTAAAGAAATTCCCATTAAAATAGTGCAAAAATAGGAAATAATTTCCTATATCAAACGTACATGTCCAATGTGCATAAAGAAATTTTCCAAATAAATTTTTCATTGTGGCAAACTACATATTAAGCCACGGGTTCAGAAAGCCACTCACTCACAAATTGTATTGTTTCTAATCTATCTTTGATACTAAAAAGATTTGTTATATAGAATTGAATTTCATATTTGAGTAACACTCTAATTTTATTTTATTACCAACCAGCTGCCCAATAATGTGTTATGCGATTTTTGGATTCTTTTCTCCACTTTTTTTTTTCCATACACATTATTTAGAAAAACTTATTAATTAAACTACCTACCCATGCATGTGATTAGCAGTGTGGAACTCACTCTCGAGGTGGATAGACATTATTTTTTCACTACTTAGATGGTCTTGATATAAAGTACGTAAAAAATCAACCACGAGATTTACCTCTATTACACATCATACTATCTTTCTTTTTGTGTTGCACCTTTCATAGACATGATAAATCAAGAATACCCGAAACCTGAAAACCTTCATTGACCTTTGCAGTTGAAATTCCTTGACCTGTAATTTGTAAAAATATGCTATCATATTTAAAGAACATAGTCAAAAGAGTGAGGAATAAAGATTTGTTCTTGTATGAATATAGCGTATATAGAAAGAGATCAATTATCGGTGAAAAAGATTCAATAATGGATGTGAAAAGAAATCAACTTTTTCTTTAATTTGATGATAGAGAACGGAGGACAATAGTCACAGATGAGAGATAGGGCAAATAGAAATGATGGTGAGATGTAATAATATCAACAAATATATTCAATTCAATGATAATATATGCATACATCATGGCATTCTATTATAAGTTATCATTTTCCAAGTATGAATACCAGTGATAAAAACAGGCTTAAGGTGGAAATTGAATAGGTTGGGTAACTCAAAGGACATAGGCATTATAATTTATAGGATTTAACAGTTTAGAATGATAAATTGCACTATTAAAAAATTAGTGTTGGCATTAGTTGATTTATTAAGGTTATTATAGTCAATCAAAATTTTTTCACATTTGTTGACATTTTGTAATAGTATATATTAGATTTTTCGCACAGGTTATCAGGTTTAATGTTAATAAATGGGGTTCACTCAACTGAATTAGATAATATTTATTATGTTTCAGGTTAGGACGAGACAACTTTTTAGTTTATTATATTCATAAAATATTATTAGTGATGTAGAAAATTTTAAAATTTATTTTTTGAGAATTATTATGCATAATTTATACATACATATAATTATTTTTTTTATTTTGACACAAAAAGCCAAAAAAGTTAGAAATTTACTCCAAACACAATTTTTTTAACTTTTTCAGCTTTTTAAAAAATACCTTAATTGGAAAACTTTTTTAACTTGGATTTTTTTGCAGAAAGGTATTCACCTAAAAAAGTCAATTCCAAACAAATTGTCTTTCGATTTCTCTTTATTCAAATATTATGACTAATCTCAAAAATTGCACCACTAGGTATGAGATGACTTGACAATTGATGGTTGGTTCTTGCAAAGAAAATCAAAGATCGGAGAAACTCTGGTGATCGATCTTGTAATGATAAAATCAACGAGGGTGTAATTGATTGAATTGTATTGAGGTGAAAGAAGATTATTTACTTGGCTNAAACTCTGGTGATCGATCTTGTAATGATAAAATCAACGAGGGTGTAATTGATTGAATTGTATTGAGGCGAAAGAAGATTATTTACTTGGCTCATGGCTAGCATGATCCTTTTATAAGCCGTGCAAATTGTGCCATTGAAATCCCTCAACTGCTTTTTGAATGATGCAACGAGTAAAGTGGAGCACTCTCCAAAAGCGTCGCAACTGGATTGAGCTACTTCCCTGGGATACGGGCGAGCAAGCTAATAGGTGGTGGTTGCTACAGCCTTCTTATTATGGAGATCTCACGTGCGTAGCTGGATTCCTGGCTCACATGCCAAGCTCTTTTGCCCGTGCTCAACTCGTGACCAATTCATACTCATGAATTATAATAATTATTATTTTAATAATAGTTTATCAATTTATTTAATGAAAAAACCATTTGACAATATTTTTGTGGAGAGTGCTATCGTACCGAGGAAAAAAAATCAGAATTAAACCANTTTAACGAAAAAACCATTTGACAATATTTTTGTGGAGAGTGCTATCGTACCGAGGAAAAAAAATCAGAATTAACTACCATATATAACATTTTTAAAAATTTGTACAATCTTCTAGGATCTTAAAACTTTTTGGAGTTTTGTAATCAATCCTAGTATTTTAGGATCATAAAATTATTAAAATCAATCACAATTTCCCAAAAAATTATAATTTCAATACAAAAATATGTACTTTTGATCTTAATTTTTTTACTTGTAATTAAATTCCAAAAACTTATATGTTAGCCCACAAAAATTATAAACTTCAATACCTACTGAAGTCAACTCCTATTTTTACCCCCCAAAAAAAAATCATATTTTTTTATTTGTTATGTTTTTTTTTGTTTCACATAGAGCAGCCGCATGAATCATACGTTTGAGTCCTGAGCTGTGTAATCCACGATATGGAGATGAGCGTGGGGGTAGCACACCGGACCGTTCAATTAGATTTTATGTTCTCTTTCTGGTTAGATTTTTTTGTCTTGTTTGTCGGTGCCATGAAAACTTCTTAATTTATCCAAAAAAGAAAACGTGAACGAAATTATGGAGGTTGGCTCACACCACGTGGAGATACTTCGATACTTCCCCGAAATCTTAAGGGAGAATCGAATGGAGGAAAAAATGAATAATAAATTTAAATATTTTAAGTTGAAAATTTAATAATTTTATTAGGATTAAATTATATAAAAATTATAAATTATGATTTTTTAAAATTTTAGAGTGGATAGTCTGTTTTCGATTAAATTAAAAAAAAATTAATCAAAATATACATAAATTAACATAAACACATTAATCATAATAATAATAAAAAAAAAAAAGACACTTCCCCACAACCTCCCATGTGATATGATCGTTTTATATGACTTTTTAAGTTTGTGAAATTAAGCTCATCTTTCTTTCTAGTTCTCATATGCACATGGAATGGAGTAAAGTAAAAAATAATTCTAAGGGTTAAATCAACCGGAAACAAGAGTGAGATGTAAATTTAGATATTTTGAATTTAAATATTAATAATTTATTGGTCAGATCATGAGAAATTTATCCCTCATAAATACTATAGTCCTAATGTAAAAACTTGTCTTTGACTAGATTGAAGAGAAATTTAGTCGAAGTGTACATAAGTTAGTCCAAATCCTCTTTGACGAACCCAGATCTACTTGGGTCAAGCACAATTTTTCAAGTAGGCCCAGATCAACTAAAAAGATCAGTCAAGTCTGTCTGGTGAAATCAACTCAATCTAAAGCCCAATGAGTTCAACAAGATTAGGGCACATAGGGAGCAATTATCAAGATACCCACTTTCGAAGATCAAGACAACATTTAATTGTATTTACCTTTTGTAGTTTCCATTCCCGAAGAATTAGTACATTTACCCTCACGTTACCGTCTCACCTAAAAGCTTTGTATCTAAAAATTATAAGCTAACTCCACATGAGAGGGGCACATTTTTACACACTCGTCACATAACTTTTTCTCTCTCCTAGCCATCATACCTCTCTCTAAACTAACTTTTGTTTTCTCTCCCTCTTACTTTACTTTACTAATTGGTACACACGTGCGTTGCACGTGAACCATGTCGTTTGATCATTTAAAAATTAAATTATTTAAATTTTTTTCATGTATCATTGTTTTTAGAATTTATTATAGTGCGATGCATCAAAGTCTTCTTATAAATACTGCATACTAATATACTATGATAGAAAAAATGCTAGTTAAAGATGACCAAGAAACTATGGGAACCGATGCATAGTGTCATCATAGGGACATAAAACCACGTGAGTTGATATTTAAGCATCTCGCTGTTGATATTTTGAAGACGACCCAGATACATTACCCTTGTAAACAAATCATATTCGGATAGATATAAGCACTGATACTTCACAGAACAGAACTGATATAATCAAAGAAGTGGCCATCTGCTTCACCAAAACTTGGCCACCAGAACTCTACCCTCTGCCCATCTCTGCTGTCCTCAATGAAATTTTGAAGCTTCTGTGGTAGATCATTCTCCCCAATCAGTTGATTTGGACGTGGGTGATGCTCATAGACAGCCTGAAATAAATAAATTTTGAGCAATTTAGTTTAAGAAAATAAATAGGAAATTAACATTTGAGATGTTTGTGTGCTGTACCTCGTGTTTGGATGATGCAGAGGCTTGGTGCATTGTGAAATATGAATGTCCTGTAATTAGAAGTTGTTGCTTCGAAAAAGTAAAAAAAAAACCCTTCTCAAGCATTTTCAGTTGCAAACATAATCTAAATTTCATCCAAAAACCAACAGTTTACATTGTTTCAATGTTTGCTAAAAACAATAGATTGTTGCTTGCATCAAGTGTAACCAATAATCAATAAAACCATATGAGTTTGATCCAAAAAAACATTAAAACATGAGGATAATCCATGCTACATCTATGATGTGAGCAATTATTTTCTACGGGTGTAGTGTAATATCAATCTTTCTGACTTTTCAGTCTTTTTCCTACTGGTTCTTCATCAATTTCAGAACCTTCAATTTTCTCTACTTCTTGTGCAACAAAGCGTCCTGTTTCTCGGTCTTTATCATCCAATTTGCGCACCCTTATGAAAAATTTGAAGTATTGTCCACTACACAAGATCAGTTTCCTATAGAACTTGCATTGCCTCTTTATCTGTCACATTATGTGAATAACGTCAGTAATTTGGTAGTATGTACTTAATGGTTTTTTTTTCTTACCCGTTTTTTGGATTCGGCAAATTCAGCAGCTGGACACCCGATAAGAGTTTCTGCTGCATCGAACAGGCTAACAAGTGCGCTTTCATCTCCATCTGGGATGACAAGCTTCACTATATATCTGTTATGATTGTGGGGTTGTAGTTTGTAAATTAGATGATTGAAAAAAGTTGCTCGGCAATGACAAAATTGTATGTTGTGATGAGAAATAAGAGTTATACGTGGTGGTTACCTCTGAGTGTGGTCAACATTGGTTTTTTTGCATTTTTTTGCATTCTGCCGCACCTGTTGTCATGATAACCCTGCTTTGACATTGTTTGCAAGCATCATACCAAGGCTCCTCTTTGTTTAGAATATTCACAATCATTGCTTTCAGAGCGCAAAGAGGTTTCTGGAAGTGCATAAAATATTTGAATATGTTAATATGTATATTAAAATTGGTTGAAACTTTGATATCACTATGTATTTAACCCGTACCTTTGTTGTAGATGGTGCACCGATCATAATGTCAGTAATTGTGACTTGCTCGTAATGTAGGATTTTTAAATAGCTAATTGTAGCTGTACCCATAGTTAAGGGTGCTGATTTATAACTTATCCTAATGAATACCCATTTGGCAGGATGTTTTACAATGTTGGACAAACTGTCACTGGGAAGCTGGATCATCAAAAATGCCGGATGAATGTGGCATAATACAAATGTTAGAGGGTATTTACGGAAAAAGATTATTTTTTGATTTAGTAGCCTTTTAGAAGTAGTAAGGATATAGATACAGATACAGATATAGATATAGATTAGCCACCGTTGCATTTTTTCAGAATAGAGTAGGTCATCCAAACCGAACCACTATAAATCTATGTGTTGATATAATATTTATTTTTTTGTCATTGATTGTTTTATTAATTGTCTCATTAATTCTCTTGCATCATTCACTCGACTGTTGATTGTGTATAAATTTATTTTATGCATCGTCACTCTTTAGAGTAATGTATTAATTTCGTTGGTTTGCTCCATGGGGAGATTTAGTTAGGTGTACTCACGAGGAGGCGTTTGGTTCAAGTATTAGATTTGATGCGTGTAGATTTTTCTCATCCAACTTAATCTCTCTTTCAATTGGATTGTGCGATGAACTTTCATATCTGTGACATTTAGGGTTTGTTTTGATAGATTTTTGGAGGGTTTGTATTAGGTTTTTCAAATCTTTTTAAATTTAAACTCTTTTTTACAAAAAAATAAGATTTAACATTAAATTCAGTTCATACTCATAATTGATACGCAACACATACACATGTATCATTTTTGTACGGGAAATGAGTGTGTCAATAATAGTCTTAGTATCATTTTTATGTTTGACACTTTATATGTACTATCTCCGTTTATCATTTTTATGCTTGACACTTTATATCTACTACCTTCGTTTAAAATTAGGTTTGACAACTTGTAATTTTCAAATATCAGAAATAATTTGGCCATTTTACATCTGGTAATGCCAGTCAGATAATCTGTGTGCCAAACAATCCTTACATAGCCAAAAATATCGTTTCTTTTCTAAACCATAATTACATACGTTTGTATAAATAAGTATTGAGTATGAATTTCCTTACATCAGCTTTAATTAAGGATGTCTGAAATCGTAATTCCTATTAGAATAATTTGACAGGGAAGAACATAACACTAGAAGGGGGAAAAATCGAGAAATATGTATTGTATTGATCTGGTACTATAGCTAATAAAAATTACAATTTAATGAGGTTATCGAGCTCATAGTTGCTAACAAATAAAGCCAAAAAATTTGGAACGAAGCTTTAAAAAATGAGATTGATCTTAAGTTTTTAAGGTTGATCACAAATCGACAAGATTTGAGGACGCGTAAATTGGCTTTGCACATCACATGTCAAGTAATTAATGATGAATGCAATAAATAAAGTAAAGAGAGAGAGAAAAAAAAGACAAGATTTATAGTGGTTCGATCATCGTGACTTACGTCCACTTTGAATGACTAGGGTCGCGCAAAGTATTTTATTACTTCAAGAGTGTAGGGAGAACAGAGAGTTACAAGCTTAGAATGATAGAAGAGAGTTGTGCTCAACTGAGTGTGATGTCCCCTAAATGTTGGCGAGATTTACAATTTATAGTCTCCCCAATAACAGATTGGAGCGAGTTGTTAGTAACCAAGTGACTATTCTAGTGGACGTGACGATCTCTTCTCAACAGACGAAGCAGTTATGTTTCTCTCCATGAGATTCGATCAAATGATGAGGTGGATGTTGACTTTTTTCAAGGTGGTGCAAAGGCACTTTGATGACTTTGCATGCTCCCCTGTTGCCGTAGCCGCTTGAACCTGATAAGCTTGACCTGATGTGAATAGTTTTTGGCTGAACTGTTAAACTCTTAATTTAAACTACGTTTACATCGTGAGTTGGCCATTTAGGTTTAGCCTATTAAAATTGAATCGGAAATTAATATGTATGAATCATCACTCGATATGATTAGTTAATAATATTAAATAAAAAAAAGTAATTTTCTAGAGAGTAGATTTGAATTACATCATCCCTCGCCAAAGCCACACATCCATAAGTGGCCAAGACATCCTCACATGCATTAGTCTCCCCCATGTTTCTCCTTGAGGTTCACCTCCTCCAAGAGACACCATACATTTAGAAGAACAATGCTACATGAATTTAAAAATTAGACTTAATAATCTCAATCATTGAATTCACTATGGGTCCCAACATTTATTGGGACCTACTACCTATTCAATGGTTAAAATAATCAAGTCTAATTTTTAAGTTCATCTAGTGTTACTTTATTTAGAATACATTCGATCATAACTATCTTCTCTTTTTAAAACTCTTATGTATAATAATTCATTTAATTCAATCATATCTCTTTTTAATTTTTAATAGACATAATTGAATTACGGATTTACGATTTCAAACACATTATAAACCATTACTTTAAAGTTTAATCGTTAATTTTAAATCAAAATTTCTATTGTCTTAATGCATATAAAATTAAAAAAAATGCAAAAGAAAAAAAAATATTCTTATTAATTGATATGACTTCAAAAAAATAAAAATGCATTTTCTTAAATGATTGAGAATTGTTGAAATTGAACATATTTCAAGCACACAATTATTGAGAGATTCGGAATGAACACAATCAATCACATCAAATCAGATACGAGTTTTACTAATAAGATTCACTAACCCATTATTATAAAAAGAAAAATACTATGTTGTCTCTCTCTAAACCAGAAGAAACCATTTTTTCAAGAAGGTGGTAGATCCCGTAAAAAGGAATAAGTTGAGAGGGCCAAAGGGGACTAAGGAGTGGTGATAAATTGTTTCAGGGGCTATCCGATTTGGCCTATTGTTGGTTGTTCTTGGCATACAGAAAATCATTTAGGAGGACATCGGAGTGTTTTTCGGCATATCTCATCCGACGATCAAGTTAACTCTTTGAGAGAGGGGAAGAAAAAAATACTATATAGTTCTTGAGAGGTGAATTTGTGTACCTTTTCAATGTGGATTTTATGACTATTTATACCTTTAAAAACTCATCATTACTGATGGTCTAGATAATAAGTAGAGTCCAGAGATGGGGCAGTGTGCCTCCTATTTCGCATGGAGGATGCCCCAATATTAATTGATGGGACACCGAGCACTTAATGCTCTTTCTTTAATGTAAGGACATTAAATGCTCAAGCTCTAGATTATTTAATGCTCCTCCTCTTCGGCTCCCAAAGCCATTGTGGATGTCCCACCATATGAGAATTTATTAAATGTTTGTCTGAAACAGCCGTATGTCAGCAAGTGTCCTTTTATCTTTTTACCCCTAACTTTGCACTCTATGCCACGTGCTTATCTTTTTATCCCTAACTTTGCACTCTATGCCACGTGCTAAACTCTCCTTAGCTGAATGTCTTACTTATTCTGCCATCCTGGCCTCATCGTACAAAGCACCCTCATGATTCCTAGCCTAGTTGAGACTAGTCACCTGTCAATCAGTAGCCTTTCCAAAAATAGGAGATATGTGGCAAGACTAGAGCTACGTACTTATGGAGCCGAGGACACATGTTGCCTCGGAGTGGAGGTACCTTCGGAGCCGAGGGATACGAGACTACCAAAAGAAGGGGGATACCTCGAGGCGAGGAAAGTGTCTGTAAGAGCAGAGGACGGGGAGCCTTAGCACCGAGGACACATGGTATTGCCAAAGGCAAGGATGCCTCGAGCCGAGGACACGTGTCATCGATCCACTCCCTTCTCAGAAGTATCCCATCACTACTCACATAATTCTAGCTTGTATCCAAGTGATTGAATAGTTGTATTGAATTGAAGGACTAAGAACCTTAGGTTCTTTGAGTTTGGGGGGTTTTGAAGTTATTTTCTTAAAGTTGTTAGATTTTAAAGTTTTTAAATGTGTCATGATAGTGTAGTTGATGATTTAGAGGTGTTAGGGTTGAGAAATAATGGTAGAAGAAGAAGTTAGAATGGAGAACAAACCCACGGGTGAGATAAACCGATACAAGTAGATGCAGAACCGGTACAACGGGTTCTAGATAGGCTAGAATCGGTACAAAGATGTGTAGAACTGGTACAATGAGGAGGAACTGGTATAACTTGTACCGGTACAACAGACTCTTCTTTGGACTGTTTTGTTGGAGTGTTTCTAGCATTTGTTCAATCAACCTCTAAATTTTTCGAGATATTCAATTGAGTTCAAATTAACTCTTTGTGGGTTAAATTGCTTATAAATACATTATTATGGATTGAATTCGAACCTCACTCATAAGAAACGAGGAACTAACGAGTAATGGTTTAAGTGATTTAAATCACATCACTTATGAAGGAATTTGGAGATATATTAATACGATCATGGTTAAGCACTGATTTATACATATTTATGATGTGATTCTTTATTTTGAGGAAGTTTATACGTAGTTGTGATAATGTGTGGTAGGAATGGAGACATTGACATCTGCGTCAAGTACGCCTAAAGTCTCATTTGAGGACTAAGTTGTGATACCGTTGGACTTGAAGTGGGTGTACTTTTTCATATAATTGATAATGATAGGAATATGCATGTGTTATTA